AGAGTGTCCACCTCAGGTAATTGGGGAGGCTGAGCCACTGGGTCCTATAGGACACCTAGCACAGAAAGCCACTCTATCAACACAGGGAAGCATAAAAAATGTGGAGACAAAGAAACAGGACACAAATGACAGAAATGGAGGAAAGCAAACTACTGGATATAGAGTCCAAAACCACACTTTTAAGGTTTTTCAAGAACTTTCTAGAAACCGCTGATAAATTTAGTAAGACCCTCAAAAAGTCTGGTGAGGGGAAAACCAAGATGGCAGCATAGGTAAACACTGGAGATTGCTGCCTCACAAAACCACTTCAAAAATACAGCTAAAAGACGGAACAGACATCATCCAGAACCACAGGAAGGCTGGCTGAGTGGAAATTCTACAACTAGAAGGAAAGAGAAAAGCATACCGAGACTCAGAGGAGGTGTGGTGTGGAAGTAAAATACAAAGGTGCGGAGGGTCATGCGGAGAGGGCTGTCCGCTGAGGACACGATTGTCTTTTTCAATCGGGAGGGAGTCTCAGGCTCTGAGTTCCAGTTCCGGGCGAGTCTCTGGGGACCCAGACTCATACGGGGAGAAACTGGACTGTCTGGCATTGGTTGGAACTTGAAGGCAGCTTTCTCTCGGAGGCGCTCACAGTGATTGCCCGGGCATCTGAGGGCAGGACTGAGAGCAGCCATACTGCTCACTCCGCCCGCCCTGTTGATCCCCTGGGACCCCACCCCGCCCAAGCCGTTCATGGAGGCTTTTGCATATGAAAGGCCCAGCCCATTGTAGGCAAAGGCTAGATTAGCACCTCCCCAGAGGACAGAAGTTTTCCACACAGCTGATTCTCACAGCCAATCGGCCGGGTGGTCAAATCCCTCTAGTATTAACTACAACAATTAAGGTTTAACTAGAACATGACTGCGCACAAAGACCACAAGGGGGTGCACCAAGAAAGCATAAAAATGCGGAGACAAAAAAACATGACAGAAATGGAGGATATGGAGCTAAAAAACGCAATTTTGAGGGCTTGCAATAAACTTGAGGAGAGCCTCACAAAAACTAATGAGACCCTCGATGCTACAATAAAGAAACTAGAAATTAAGCATACACGGACTGAAATAAAGAATATTATACCCAATAGCAGACCAGAGGAGCGCAAGAATCAAGCCAAAGATTTGAAATACGAAGAAGCAAAAAACACCCAACCGGAAAAGCAAAATGAAAAAAGAATCCGAAAATACGAAGATAGTGTAAGGAGCCTCTGGGACAGCTTCAAGCGCACTAATATCAGAATTATTGGGGTGCCAGAAGATGAGAGACAGCAAGATATTGAAAACCTATTTGAAGAAATAATGGCAGAAAACTTCCCCCACCTGGTGAAAGAAATAAACTTACAGGTCCAAGAAGCGCAGAGAACCCCAAACAAAAGGAATCCAAAGAGGACCACACCAAGACTCATCATAATTAAAATGCCAAGAGCAAAAGACAAAGAGAGAATCTTAAAAGCAGCAAGAGAAAGAGACTCAATTACCTACAAGGGAATACCCATACGACTGTCAGCTGATTTCTCAGCAGAAACTTTGCAGGCCAGAAGGGAATGGCAAGAAATATTCAAAGTGCTGAATACCAAGAACCTACAACCAAGAGTACTTTATCCAGCAAAGCTATCATTCAGAATTGAAGGTCAGAGAAAGAGCTTCACAGATAAGGAAAAGCTAAAGGAGTTCATCACCACTAAACCAGTATTATATGAAATGCTGAAAGGTATCCTTTAAGAAGAGGAAGAAGAAAAAGGTAAAGATACAAATTGTGAACAACAAACATGCATCTATCAACAAGTGAATCTAAGAATCAAGTGAATAAATAATTTGATGTACAGAATGATCTGGTGATTATAATGAATCAGGGACATAGAAAGGGAATGGACAGACTATTCTTGGGGGGGAAAGGGGAATGGGAGATGCGGGAAGAGACTGGACAAAAATCGTGCACCTATGGATGAGGACAGTGGTGCGGGGGTGAGGGCGGAGGATGGGAGGGGAACCGCTTGGAGGGGAGCTATGGGGGGAAAAAAGAGGAACAACTGTAATAATCTGAACAATAAAGATTTAATTTTAAAAAAAGTCTGGTGAGACCGCCGATAAATGTAGTGAGGCCCTCAAGAAATCTAGTGAGACCCTCGAGGTTATGAAAAAGGACCAACTAGAAATTAAGCATATACTGACTGAAATAAAGGATATTATACAGACTCCCAACAGCAGACCAGAGGATCACAAGAATCCAGTCAAAGATTTGAAATACGAAGAAGCAAAAAACACCCAACCGGAAAAACAAAATGAAAAAAGAATACAAAAATACGAAGAGAGTGTAAGGAGCCTCTGGGACAGCTTCAAGAGTACCAACATCCGAATTATAGGGGTGCCAGAAGAAGAGAGAGAGCAAGATATTGAAAACCTATTTGAAGAAATAATGACAGAAAACTTACCCTACCTGGTGAAAGAAATAGACTTACAAGTCCAGGAAGCGCAGAGAACCCCAAACAAAAGGAATCCAAAGAGGACCACACCAAGATACATCATAATTAAAATGCCAAGAGCAAAAGACAAAGAGAGAATCTTAAAAGTAGCAAGAAAAAGAAAGTCAGTTACCTACAAGGGAGTACCCATATGACTGTCAGCTGATTTCTCAACAGAAACTTTGCAGGCCAGAAGGGAGTGGCAAGAAATATTCAAAGTGATGAATGCCAAGAACCTACAACCAAGATTACTTTATCCAGCAAAGCCATCATTCAGAATTGAAGGTCAGATAAAGAGCTTCACAGATAAGAAAAAGCTAAAGGGGTTCATCACCACTAAACCAGTATAATATGAAATGCTGAAAGGTATCTTTTAAGAAGAGGAAGAAGAAGAAAAAGGTAAAGATACAAATTATGAACAACAAATACACATCTATCAACAAATGAATCTAAAAATCAAGTGAATAAATAATCTGATGATCAGAATAAACTGATGATTATAATAGAATCAGGGGCATAGAAAGGGAATGGACTGACTATTCTTGGGGGGGAATGGGGTGTGGCGGATGCGGGAAGAGACTGGACAAAAATCGTGCACCTATGGATGAGGACAGGGAGTGGGGTGAGGGCAGACGGGGGGCGTGGGAACCGGGTGGAGGGGAGCTATGGGGGGGAAAAAAGAGGAACAACTGTAATAATCTGAACAATAAAGATTTAATTTTAAAAAAACTCTTAAAAGAGATCATATTATATTGGAATTGTCAATGAATTTTTGGATAGGAAACTAAAAGCACAAGTAACAAAGAATAATAGATAAATTGGACTTTATCAAAATTTTAAAAATTGTGTTTATGAAAGTACAGTGTTAACAAAGAAAAAAGAACACACAAAATGGACAGAAATATTTGAAAATCATATATCTGATAAGGGATTAATATACAGAATATATAAGTAACTATTACTCAACAACAACAACAAAACAATTGGATTTTTTTTAAAATATATTTTTATTGATTTTTTACAGAGAGAAAGGGAGAGAGATAGAGAGTCAGAAACATCAATGAGAGAGAAACATCGACCAGCTGCCTCCTGCACACCGCCCACTGGGGATGTGCCTGCAACCAAGGTACATGCCCTTGACCGGAATCGAACCTGGGACCTTTCAGTCTGCAGGCCGAAGCTCTATCCACTGAGCCAAACCGGTCTTGGCAACAATCGGATTTTTAAAAGGCCAGAGGGACCTAGCAGGTTTGGCTCAGTGGATTGAGCATCGGCCTGTGGACTGAAGGGTCCCGGGTTTGATTCCATTTAAGGGCACATGCCTGGGTTGTGGGCTCCATCCCAGTGAGGGTCGTGCCCGTGGCAGCTTATTGGTGATTCTCTCTCATCATTGATGTTTCTATCTCTCCCTCTCGCTTCCTCTCTGAAATCAATAAAAATATTTTTAAAAATGGCCAGAGGAACTGAATACAAATGTCTTCCAAAAAGATGTAGAAATGGACAAAAAGCACATGAAAAGATGCTCAGCATCACTAATCATTAGAGAAATGCAAATCAAAACCACCATGAGATAACACCTCACACCCATTGAGATGGCTATTACAAAAAACCCAAGACCACCCAGAAAACAATGTGTTGGCAAGGATGGGGAAAACTGGAACGTCTATGCATTGCCAGCAGGAATATTTAATGGTGCAGCCACTATGGAAAATGGCGTGGCAGTTCCTCAAGAAATTGAACAAAAATTACTATTTGATCCAGTAATTCTACTTCTGGGTAAATACTCAAGAAAATTGAAAGCAGGGATTTGAAAAGGTATTTGTACACCTTGTTCATAGCAGGATTATTCACAATAGACAATAGGTAGGAACAAGCCATAATTCATAGACAGATGAATGATAAACTAAATGGGATGGATACATGCAACAGAATATTATTCAGCCTTAAAAAGGAATGGAACTGTGATATATGCTACAACCTGGATGAAACTGAAGACATTATGCTAATTTTAAAAAGCCAACACAAAAGGACAAATATCACATGATTCCATTTATATAAAGTAACTAGAATAGTCATATTCATAGAAACAGAAGTAGAATGGTGGCTTCCAGGGGTTGGGGTTGGGGATTGGAGAGCTATTGTTTAATGGGTACAGAGTTTTAGTGTGGTAAGATGAAAACGTTCCTGATGGATAGTGGTAATGATTGCACAACAATGTGAATGTACTTAATGCCACTGAAGTGTACACTTAAAAGTGAAAATGGTAAATTTTGTGTATAGTTTATCACATAAAAAATGAGCACAAAAAAATAACCTTGTGCAAGGTCACAGTGAAGGCCAGACCCAGATTCGGAAACTGAGCTCTTAACCACTTTGCCATTCTGTTTACTGTAATGTCTCCTGATGGACATTCTGTCCCTGTGACTTCTGTCCATTTGTCACACCATTGGTAAGAGCAATCCTCCCAGGGAGACGTAGGATGGGGCAAGGGGTCACTTACATTGTACATCCAGCCTGCAGGGGTCACTTTTGCTGGAACTGACGGGGTTGAAGACCTCACACTGATGACCCCCAGCGTCCTCCCTCCTGACGGGGTTTATGGTGAGGGTGCTGTTGCCCTGGGACAGCTTCATCCTGTCCTTGTGAGGTAGAATCTGGTTCTTGAAGAGCCACCGGATGGAGATGCCCTTGTCATTTGTGAGGCAGGTCAGGACCACGGCGTCCTTATGCTCTGTGACTCTGGCATTGCTGGCTCGGATGGAGGGCTTTCCCACGGGCTCTGTGGAGAACAGAGGAGGTGACTGACTGAGAGTGGGCCCCTTCCTCAGAGATGTCAGCCACTCACAGTCCACAGTGATCTCTATAAGGGTCACCAGAGGAGGACTCTGACCTCTGCAGGGTGAGGATCTTTGTTCAGATGACAGTCTGTAAGGAGAGGGCTATACCTCCCCTCTGCCCTCCAGATCACCTCAGAATGACTCCTGACCTGTCTCCCTGGACATCTGTAGTATCAGCACCAGGAACCTCTTATAAGACCACGCGTCCAGTTTCCTCAATATTAGTTGGAATTTTCCATCCATTGACTTTTAAAAAATATATAGTTTTACTGATTTCAGAGGGGAAAGGATTGGGAAAAGAGAGATAGAAATGTCATTGATGAGAGAGAATCATTGATTGGCTGCCTCCCTCACATTCCCTACTCAGGATCAAGACCCAGAATATGTCTTGACTGGAAATCGAACCATGACCTCCTGGTTCACAGGTCAGTGGTCGGAGCTCAACCACTGAGCCACATCAGCTGGGCTCCACCAATTGACTTTTGTGTGACTCTTTCCCAGACCTTTCTGTGAGTTTCTAAATAGTCACACCCCCTCTTTAGTATAGTGGCTACACACAGATGGAAAGGCATTTCCTTTTCGTTAAATAATTTATTACAGCCGAAACCGGTTTGGCTCAGTGGATAGAGTGTCAGCCTGCGGACTGTAAAGGTCCCAGGTTCGATTCCGATCAAGGGCATGTACCTGGGTTGCGGGCACATCCCCAGTGGGAGATGTGCAGGAGGCAGCTGATCGATGTTTCTCTCTCATCGATGTTTCTAACTCTCTATCTCTCTCCTGTCCTCTCTGTAAAAAATCAATAAAATATATTTTTTTAAAAAATAATAATTTATTACAGAATGAGAATGGCCCAGTCACGACCTTAGGACCTGGAGAAGTTTTAATCTAAAGGATTTCTCAGTCTGAATAGGACTTTCACTTCCTGGCCTGTGGATGGAATATCACAGAGAAGGAAATCCCTAGAGAGAAGTAGTCACAGTTTGAACAAAAGGCGGGTACTCTTAGCTTCCTCCGTAAACTACAAACTCTGTGGCACTGCTCCTTCTGTCCCATGAAGGGACTTCGTGGATGAATCTACCTACTTGTCAGGTATGCACCACCGTCACTGCTCCCCTCAGCAATGTGACATACACTCGTGTCACACAGTGTTGTACAGCTGCTGACTTCAGAGTCAGGACACAGCTCAGAGGAGTCTCCCCTGTGGCTCACTCTCTCCCCATTTTCATGCAGCCTGGTCTGAGGGAGGCTGTGGTGTCGGTGGGTGACTCAAAATGGCCAGATTGAGGACAGGCCACCCATGCACCTTCAGCCCAGACCCCTGTCCCACCACAGAAGGCACAGAAAAGCCAGTCACCAGGTGAGCCTGGAGCAGAGCAGGGAGCAGGGGTCTGACCTGCTCACCCCTCCTCAGAGGTGGTTTCCTCCTTTAGTTTGGGGAAAAGAGGTGAGCTTGTTCAAAGCCTTGTATGTTCCTTGTAGCACATGGAGCAGGTAACAGACAAGAGGTGACAGAAGGAAAGTGTCTGTGACAGAAGAAGCAGCTTGACCTTGAGGACCCTTGTTTTCCCCTCTGGAAAGCTCCCTCCCTCCACCACTTGACTCTTCCTCGGGCTGAGAGAACCCCCTCCTCACTTTCCAAGGCTGGAGCCCAGCTCTGCCATGAGAGATCAGAAGAGCACGGGAGGAGAGTCTACAGAGATGTAGTGGGAGGGCTCAGGGGAAGACTGTGATTTGATTGTGTCCATGGCCACAGGATGGGAGACAACACCCTCTAGGCTCTGTTCTGAAAACTAGACAGGCCTGCACCCCACAGCCTGGTATTGATGGTCCAGGGGGCACTTACCAGAGACTGTGATAGTTTTGACCGTGGTCCTATAGGGATGAGTGACAGAGTTATGAGTGAGGCAGGTTTAGAATCCACTATCACCTGCAGTGATATTGGGGATAAGGAGCTCCTGTGTGGGTTGCTGGGGCCTCACATTGATAAGCCAAAAATACGATTTATGGGTGTTAGAGGGTGAGTGGCAGGAGAGGCTGAGGTTTGCCCCTGGAAGGTAAGGGTCCTCTGAGAGGGAAGTGGTGAGAGGGGACAGGGCCATCTGGAGGAAAGAGAACAAAGCCACACATGATGTAAGCAGAGGGAAGGGGAAGCTTCTGGTCTGTGTAAGGGCCACACTCTCCCTCTGAGCTGGTTTTCAGCCTGTTTTTTGTTGTTGTTGTTTTTGGTTTTAGATCCAATTCAATTCACACTAACAATCAATTTGAATTACATAAGTGTTCTGCAGAATGTTTGCCCAAATTCTCTTTCTGGGGTCTAAAAGAGACTTCCTAACACTAGTGTGAAATTAAATGAATTTTCCTTATTGGGGAAAAATATGAAATTTCAAACTGTCACTACTGAACAATTTGCATCATCTGTATGCAGCTTTTTGATAGATCCATTTCACAACCTGCAATAAATGAAACAGCTATTGGGATGCATGTAACATAAGAAATCTCTACCCTGCCCTAACCGGTTTGGCTCAGTGGATAGAGCGTCAGCCTGCAGACTGAAAGGTCCCAGGTTCGATTCTGGTCAAGGGCATGTACCTTGGTTGCGGGCACATCCCCAGTAGGGAGTGTACAGGAGGCAGCTGGTCGATGTTTCTCTCTCATCGATGTTTCTAACTCTCTATCCCTATCCCTTCCTCTCTGTAAAAAATCAATAAAATATATATTTTTAAAAAAGAAATCTCTACCCAAAGGCATGTCTCTGCTACTTGATTTTGCTACTGAAATAGAGAGAATGACCTGCCTGTTGACACTTCCTCAGTGATATTGCCTTGTGAGTAGATACCATCGCTGCCAAGTGTTTCTGCTCCAAGAGCAGCTATAAAATGAGTTAGAACAACTGCCCTCCTCTGAAGCAATGGATGTTTATGTGCAAAAGCCTCTGTGTCCACACATGACTCTCCCTACTCCTCCAAACAAAAGGATGAAGGTGCTGGTGGTCAACTATAGCTACCCTGAAACTTCCCCCTCCCAGTATATTTATACAAATTTACTAGTATCTTTTAAAGATGTCCCCCTTGTTCTCTATTGACCCCCTACACGCCACATCAACCCTACCCCGAGCCTGGTTTTAAACAGCTCGTCCCAGCCCAGGTGGCGTGGCTCAGTGGTTGAGCATTGACTTATGAACCAGGAGGTCATGGTTCAATTCTCAGTCAGGGCACATGCCTGGGCTGCAGGGTCTATCCCCAGGGTGGGATGTATAGGAGGCAGCTGATCAATGATTCTGTTTCATCATTGATGTTTCTATCTCTTTCCCTCTTCCTTCATCTCTGAGATAAATAAATATATATTAATAATAATAATTTAAAAAGCCCCAACCATAACCCCCTGTATTTATTGAGCCTGAGCCTGAGACATTAACCTTCTTGTCCCAGTCCCAAGAGCTGCCCAGATGTGCCTAGTATAGGAACTCCTGGCCACCCTGAGTGTTTGGAGATCGTGTCTGCATACGTGGACCAGAGAGGGACGGATGTGGTCTGGCCTCTGGCAGTGTGGATTAGGGTGGGCAGCCTGGCCCAGGCAGGGACAGAAGTTACTCACAGACAACATTCAGGGGGAATGGGTCACTGCGGCTGGCACTCACTGGGTTCCGGGTTTCACACTCATAGGGTCCTGTGTCATTCCGTGTGACAGGGAGTAAAGTGAGAGTCCTGTTGTCCTTGGACAGCTGCAGCCTGGCACTGGCCGGGAGACTCTGACTGCTGATCAACCACAGGTAGGGGGTATCCTGAGTCTGAGGTTCACACATTGACAGGACAGGGTCCTTGTGTTAACGGTTGGAATTGTTGCTTGTGATGTTGGGTTTGGGTAAATTCTCTGTGCAGGTAACAGAGAGAGCACTGCCCTGTGTGGTACCTTGGATTCCTCCAAAGGCTCTTTCGTCAGAGTTGACATCTCTTGCCTCTCAGCCAACCTGAGTTTTTAAAAGAATAAGGCAGGTCTGTGCATCACAAGACAAACAAATGCATGAGGAGCTGAGTGCTTAGAGTTTGTAAGGCCGCCTGCTCTATGTCTGGGAGAAAAAGCACAGACTTTCTCAGGTGTCAGATAACTATCAGGGTTTGATCATAGAAAGACACAGGACTGGGAGTCAGAGACCACCCAGCACTGTCCTGGCTCCTCACTAACCAGCTGACTGCCTGGCTGACCTTGGGTCTCACCTGGAAGTGCAGGTGCTGAGTCCCTTCCAGCTACACAGACCTACATTGCCGGGTTGAGATGTGTTGCCACTGAAGCCTCACATTCCAGGGTTAACCTAGAGATGAGTAATGATGGGCCACCCCATAGTCCTTAAACCCAGAGAAGACTGGACAGGGTGTCCTAGAACTGGATGGCTGAGCAGAAACAATACACGGGAGACGAGAAGCAAGTCTGGCGGTGAGTTTAGTACCCAGGCTGCAGTGCCAAGAGGAATGGCCATCTGCCCAGGAGTTCATTGGTGACTGACATGAGACAGTGACCCCAGAAAGGGCAGAGCTTAGTCCAGGAATGATTTAGAAAAGAGTGAGGGATGGTGGGAGCTGGCTGGCGGTGGCAGCGGAGCCATGCTCTCTGCCCTTGGTCTGTAATGTCCTTTCTACCACTGCAGAGGGCAGGGATCCTTCCTCAACACGCAGACAGTAGCACGTACAGAAGGGGGGCTTGTGGAGGTAGGGGAGCATGAACTTGCTGAAAATATGACCCTCATGGTCCAATTGTGTTTGGCAATGATGAGATAGATTTTTAGTTAAACTGTGAAAGAATATGTGAAAATCATTATTCATGCCCCAAAGACCTAAGACCAGTTTTTGCAGGAATCTCTGTCTAGAGAGCAGGAAGGTCATAGACCAAGTTCTGCCATCCAATCAGGTCACACTGTGACCAAAGGCGATGTCACAGTGGGTTTGGAATCAGGGACTCCCTGTGATAGAGAGAGGGTGAGTCCTGCGAAGAGAACAGAAGTGACCAGGGGGAAAGTCCAGGTGTCTCTGCTGTATACAGGAAGGGATGACACCCGATTGGTAGAAAGACATGTGCCATGTTAGTAAAGTTAGGAAGAAGGTCCCTTCCTGTTTCTATGGACAGTCAGGCATATAGGACCCCCACACAGGCATGTGGTATGTGTTCTTTCCTTTCTAACTCAGGAAACAACTGGAGTTTAGTCAAATTCATTCAAATGGGCAGCGTCTAAGAGAAAGGAGAGTGGCTGGTGGATCTCACCATCTGAGAGGATCTCACCCTGTGGTTAAGGACACACGTGTGTGAAACAGGCAGTGAACCAGTCACATCCTCACACCAGGATGAGGACCTGAGTCAGGAGTCAGGGGTGAAGTGAGCACAATAAGGCCCTTGGAGTGGAGGAGAGGCCTTGGCATGACTGACGTTGGTCAGTCACAGTCTGTGTGATTCTGATTGACTGTATCTTCCTGTAACTGTTTTCCCTGAATAAAACAGGATAAATGGTAAATGGTCTCAGGTTTGCCATGTTGCCTTTGAATGAACCTTAAATCTTTCACAATTTCCTAACCTAAAGCTTGTAATAGAGGGGCTGCCCAAGTTAACAGCCTCTGTTACTATTTGTGTCTGTGAGAGAGGATGCCATGGGCAGATCCCTGGTGGACTAGGAGCTTTGAGGGACATCTTCTCTTTTCCTCCCTGGGGAGACCATGTTCCTCTTCTTTCCTATGTCCCCAGGGCAGTTGGCTAATGGCCTGGGACCATGTCCACATACTCCCCACCCATGGTCTCAGGTGAATGAGCAGGCTCCATCCCTCGCCAGATGGGGTTCCTGAGGCTGATCCTTGGCTGGTGACCATCTCAGGAGCTTTGTGACATGAGCACCTGGGAAATTGTTGCTGCCAGTCAGTCCTGCCCAAAGATCAACCCAACTGCCCAGAGGCTCCTCGGGTTTCCTGGAGTCAGGAGCCCTGGAACAGGAGGTCTGGGGGAGAGTGGTGGAGCAACTGCTAGGATTGAACTTCTGATCATGGTATCTCCCGTGCCAGGTAAGTATAGGAGGATTGAACTTCTGAAAAGGATTCCAGGGGTCCCCCAGGCCAGGCCCTGCATTAGCCCTCCAGGGTTGGTCTCTGGGTCATGGTTGGGAGGGGCCCAGGGGCCTGGACTGAGACTGGTCGGTCTCTGCTGAGTCACTCCCATCAGAATGGGCCATCTCTCTGTGGAGAATGTCTGCAGGGCTGGAATCCGGGAAGGGAACTCTGATCTTAGGAAGTTTGTCTCTACTGTGTGTGTCCTGCACTAAATGCCCAAATCCAATCTGGAATGTGAGGTAGAGGGGGATGGAGGCAGAGTGAGTCCAGGGCTGTGAGTCCTGTGTGTGAAGTAGAATATACCCCACCCGACACCCAGAGGACAGAGAGCAATCACTCACGGTAAACACGGAGCTGTCCAGTTACTTGTATGCTCTGAAAATCTTTGTCTATGGCTTGTAGGGTGTAGTATCCACTGTCCTGCAGGGTGACTTTCTGGAACAGCAGGGATCCATTGGGGTACATTGTCTGTCGACTGCTGCTTGCAGGCCAACGTTTAATTGCTTGAGTGTCTGCTGCATATGATACAATTTGAAGGTCGCTGACAATTTTTTCCCCTTTGTACCAGATACAGGTCTTTACAACTCCAGGCAGATTGTGGACACGGAGAAGCACATCCTTCCCTTCGGTAGCATTGGGTGGCACTGATTCAATAGTGAGCTGGGCAGTGGTGGGCAGGCTCCAGAAGGTTAAGAGTGAGGCTAGGAGGGAAGAGAGAAATTGATCAAGATTTGGAGCGATGTATTGGGATGGAGAGATGAGGCCTTGGGTCCTGAGCAGGTCCCGTCATCTCTCAGCCTTGGTGTGTGTGTGTGTGTGTGTGTGTGTGTGTGTGTGTGTGTGTGTGTGTATTTCCTGTGGTCAAGTTTAGCAGCATGGCCACCAATACTTCAGCACCTCTGACCTTATTTTCTGCTTGAAAACTCCCAGGTGCCTGCCTAGCTCCTGGCTCCTGAGGTCAGAAATGCTCACAGGCACAGCTCAGACCCCTGTTGACACTAAAGACCTGTGTCTCCACTTTCTGACCTGTCCCTGTTCTGTTTTCCTCATGGCAGTTGTGGGTCCCTGACCTCACATCTAGATCTTTCCTTGTGTGTATCCTCTCCATAGAAGGTGAGCTCCATGGAGGAAGGGGCTTGTCTGATCTGTTGTACCCCCAGGGCCTGCAGCAGGCTGAAGTGCTTGTGGGTGAATGTATGAATCTCTGGGGTCCATGTGCACATTTCTGTGGTTGGTGGTAAAGACAACGCTTAGTGCCCCTGGTTCATTTTTTCTTGTGTCACCCTGACATAAATTGATATTATTATAATCAGTTTTCAGGAACAATTTCAGTGATGAATAACTTGTGAAACGTACCATAATCAAGGTTTTCCTGCCCCTCACCACCTCCAGATCATGGGATTGTCGTGCTGCTGAGCCCCCTCCCCCTTTCTACTCTGCTCCCCTGTCTTCTCCCCTCAGGTCCAAACAGAAGCCCTCTGTCCGCTCTCAGAGCGCTGTGCTCCCCAGGAGACCCCAGCCAGTCTCTGTCTTCCCTTTTCCTGTCCACCCCCAGGGATTGTCCCCTCCTTACCAGTCAGCAGGAGCCTCCGCCAGGGGATGCACCCTCTAGGGGCTGAGGGGGACTCCATGGTGTCTGCTCTCTGCTCTGTCCCTCCCTCTATGAGAAGAGCTTGAGATCCAGAGACACAGGCACTGCTCTCCCTACTGGTGGGACCTGCTAAGCCTCCTCTAGGGACAAGATCACCTCCCTGGTCACATGGGCAGGGGGCGGGGTCTGTGCCTATGACTCTCCCTCATCCTCCCCTCCTTTCTGCCTCCCTTCTCCCACCTTCCTGGTTACTTTCAATCTAAATGTCAGATTCTGGGAATTGCTGAGGACTCTTTTTCCTCGGTGATTCTCCCCCCACCCCCCACCTCCCACCCCGGTAGGGGCATTACCTTTTTAGATAAACTTGAGCCTTGGTCATGGAAGTTGGTGGCGGGCCAGGGGGAGGGGGGGGGAGCGGGGGTTTTCTGGGTGGGGGGGGGGGCGGCGGGGATGAAATTCCCTAGAGCTCAAGTTGAATGCACAGTATCGCCACCTGTGGCCTCTCTTATCCTGTCTGGCCTTATGTTTCTGAGCAGGAGCCCTGGGGTGACATGAGGAACTCTTGTCACAGGAATGTCACCCTCTTGTGCATGGGATCACCTATTTAACTTGGTAAAGATGGTGATGCCTACAGGACACTGTAGAAATGCTACTTATCAGCTGCTCAGCTAATGTGGATGCCTGCCAGGCTGAGACCCTGTGAACTGGGAGTGGGGCAGTCCCGCCCCTGTCCTGTGCTCAGGAGTGTCTGCAGATCCTGTTCAAAGACAGATTCTGAGAGCCCTGGCTGGGGAGCTCAGTTGGTTAGAGCTTCCTCCTGATACTCCAAGGTTGCCAGTTTGATCCTAGGTCAGGGCACTTGCAAGGATCAACCAATAAATGCATAAATAAGTGGAACAACAAATTGATGTTTCTCCCATCCTCCCTTCCTCCCTAAAATCATTCAATTAAAAAACATAAAATAAAAAAGCCAAAGACAAATGCAGATTCTGACTCAGTAGGTGTGCAGTGGACCAGAGACTCTGCATCTAATAAGCTCTCAGGGGAGGTGGATCTTACTGGCCTGATGAGCCCATTGTCTTTCTTTTTGTCATTTATCACATATTTATTGAGCTTATTCTGCTCTCCCAGGCAGTGTAGCTGGGCATACAGCAGTCCACAAAACACAGAAGTGGAAATCCAATGCTTATTAATAAATCCATGACAGCCTTTCACTTGACATTTTTTTGGTAAACATCTAAATTTGTTTGTTTAAAAATTATGAGGGCATCGGAGCATAGTTGCATAGCCAGGCTGATGGAGACCCCTTCACCTGAGAGGATGACCCCCTCATGCCAGCATCTGTGTGTCCTGGTCTTGGGTGTGTCCCCACCACTCAGATAGCCCCTCTGCTCCCCTAACCTGGGGATTTGTTTCCATTTGTAACACTCAACCCAGCTGGGCACTGGTGAAAGGGGGCAGCCATAGAATTTGGGGAACCAGCCAGTATTGTAAGAAATATTAATCACGCTCTGTAAGCCATGATTGTTTTATTCTGATTAAGGAAGGCACATTCTTCCCTGGCTGGAGCTGACCTGGAGCAGTGCTTCCTCCCCATTTGGAGCTGCCTATTACCATGGAACGATTAACAACTTTGCTGCAGAACCAAAATCCCAGTCCTTTGAAGATCCCCCAGCCCACTGTGCACACCTGCAGGCCTTTGCACACCTCCAGCCTGCTTACCTGTTAACTGCCCATCAGGCACTCGCTTTGGCTGCTTGCCATGTAACCCCAGCCTTTGCATATCACTAAGCCCTTTGAAGACCCCTAGTCCTTTTGCATGTCTGTAAACTACCCTTTTGCCTACTTTTCCTTTGTGCTTTTGCTATATAAACAACTGGCTTGTGGTGGGGTGCAGCGCAGATTTCTGTGGCTGACCTGCTGCTCTCCCATGCTGCCGGCAGCCCTGGAATAAATGCTCATATGAGTCCACCCTGTCTCTGCTTCATTGGCTCGAGTAGTGACAGGAAGCATGGACCCACTGTTTGTCCGGTGACACTGGGTCTTCCCTGTGTTCTCAAATGCTCTGTGAAGGATGGATTTCCTCCCAGCAGGAAGGCCACAGAGAGGACTCTGGGGGTGAGAAGAGAGCAAGCTGGGTGATGACTGAAAGGGGACCTACCTTCTATCTCCAGATGCCAGCAGCCAGGCCTCTACTTCCTGGCTTGGGTGTCTCAGAAGGTCTTACAGTTCCCGGGTGTGAAGGGAGAGGTGTCCAGCATGTCCTGGGAATAAAGATATTGGTGGAAGGTCATGTGGCTGTGGGCTCCCTGGTCCTCAGGGGACAATTCCAGGGAGACCCTCTCTCATGTCTGTTGGCTGAGACTGTCCATGTGCAAATGGGGAGGTGGGGAAAGTGAGTCTTTCTGGCAAGTTTGCTCCCCTGGGAGAAGGCAGGAAAGAGGGGGCAGGCAGGCAGATGGCAAATCTTTTGAAAGGAACGACTCTCTCCAGTGTGCACAGGAGGAAAGTTCATATCCAAAGGGGTCCTGTCTGGCCTCGTCCTGGGTTCCCACAGAGGCCTTGGGCCTCCAGCTTCTAGACAGATGGGTGAGGAGCCCTGTGGTGAGCACTACCTCCTTGATGGCTGAGGCAGGAACCTGGGAGTGTTTGGTTCTCAGACCCAGAAGAGGCAGAGGTCTGAGCTGGGGTTGGTGTGATGCGGACACAGGCCACTGGTGGGTGTGATGCCCTTGGGGTTGGCAAAGATGAGGGCTGAGGTGTTGAGGAGGCTGGGAGGGCAGGGCTGGGAGGTGCTGTAGCTGGAACTGGATGGAGATGACAAGCGGCTTCCAATCTTCTTTTGAGGGGCCCCAGCGTGGATTCTACTGGTATATGGAGGAGCAGAGTGCCCAGAGGAAGTACAGGGCAGGATGCTGGGGACTGAGATCTCATGATTCCAAACACACTCTTTTCCTTGGAAGGCTCCACAGGAGAAGGACAGGCATCTGGGAGGTTGGCAGGCCTGTCAGTGGGAGCTGGTGAGAGGCCTGTGGTGGTCAGTGGCCCCTGGTGGTGAGATGGTGAGATGCAGGCCCAGCAGGTGGAAGCAGCTGAGACTGGTGTCTCCAGAGGTGCCTGGCAGGGCTGGACCTTTGGGTGGTTGTGGGGGGACATGGCAGGTGGGTGTCTTTAGCAGAAAATGGTCCCCACTCGTGGCCCCTACTGCAGACTCAGGTCAGGCTTGAGGCCCTGGGGTTGAGTCCTCAACCAGCTGAGGATTGGGGCCTGGGCTGGTGTGGTCCCACAGCAGTTTGGGTGTCATCCTCCCTTACTGGGGTGAAGGCTTCTGCTCAGAGACCCCTCAGGGCACAAGGAAAGGACTTCCCCCATTTCTCATCTGGGGCTTCATCACCAATGGCCTCTGGAAGAAGAGCGGCTCCTGGTCAAACCTCGGGTTCCTGAGCGCTCAGGGCGGTCTCCATGACACTGAGGTCTGGGTGCTCCTCGGAGGGTGGAGGCCCTACTGATCTGGGTGCCTGCCCCGAGGACAGGGAAGGGCCCTTCTGTGCTCAGAAGAGTGAGCTTGAGGTTCCACACTCTGCTCCTGGTGCGGAGCACACCAAACACTCTGACTCTAGTAACCCTCCCAGCATTGGAGAGTAGGGCTGGGTTGTGGGATCAGAGCCGTGCATTGGAAAGTGCCTCCAAGCCTAGGTGGCCACCACATGCCTGGAATGGCAAGCATAGGACCCTCACTTCTGCTGTTGACCTTGACCTGGAGGAGCAGGTCAAGGGGTGGGTGCCTTGGTGCATGTATTTGGCTTCCAGAAAGTCCCAAGGGTTTGGATGAGGCCTGTGAGAGGTGGGCAGGGTTCTGGTGACTTTGGACTACAGGATAGTACTTAGGACACACCAGGCCAGTGCCTGACAGATACGGAGACATCAGGGTTCAGCAGTACCCCAAGAACATGGTCGCAGGTAGTTGGCTCTGGGAGATGGGTCCAGAGCTGCCTCTAGTCTTGTATTTGATATTTAAAAGGAGAAAGGGTCATGTGGATGTGGTCTAAGCAAGTCTCCAACAGTCTCACTGCAGGTGCTTCCTGAGCAGGTGCTTCAGGATGGTGGGAAGACATACGGACTGAAAGGCAATCCCTTTCTACGTGGTGAACATGAAGATAATCCACTGGAATCCTCTCTTAAGGACAAAGGAACAATTTTATTTTACCGGTAACTGTGATGCATTATTAATGTCCTTTTTGCAGTTGTGCTCTTAAGGAAATGGTGAAAGCCACCTTCATGTTTTATCTGAAAATGTTGATTTTATGTAGACACTCCTATGATTTTAAGCTTTCAAAGTTAAGCTAGACCATCTTCTGTGAAGAGTAAAGCGAGTTCTCTGCCCATTTCTGTTACTCATCCCTATACACAGAGAGTCACACGTTCCCTAAGGGCCTGAAAGCAGCTGAACCCCCATAGAAAGAAGAAAGTGTCCAAATGATGGCACTCAAGGGGGAGGTCTGCTCAGGGTGGGCGAGGGAGGTTCTCTCAGGACCTGAGGAAGCAGGTGGTGTTGGGCTTTGCCATCAACTTCAGATCAGGACCCAGGAAGTGGGAGAGTGAGGACCTCCCTCACCCTTCCCACCCTCCTCAGGACACCACTGCTGGGCTGTCTGTGGGGAAACTCAGGCTCCCCTCCCCCTCCCTGCAGTGCAGGACAGGGACCCAGAGCCTTTTCATGTAGAGTGGACCATGAGGAGCCCAGGTGAGGGAGGGCAGGTGGACGTGAGGAGAGAGCCTTACCTGGAGGTGGGAGCTGAGATGAGGGCCAGCAGGAGGCACACAGCCTGCTTAGCACCTCAGCTGAGTCAGTGCGCCAGAGCGTTTCCTCTGCAGAATCCAGCCCTTTCCCTGCGAACATTCCATCACCTCCCCTTCAGTGCTCCCAGCTGAGGCCTCAGTCCTTCCCCCCTCAGTCCTGCATCAACTCTTTGTCCCCCTCACCCTCGGGCAGCTCTGTCTGCCCAACTGCCCAGTCCCCCCAGGGCTGCAGAATGGTCATTGCTGCCCCTGACCCCACCAGTGTGGAGGCCCAGTCCTGCCTTCCTGGTCAGCTGTGGGGCCAGGCTCTCA